AATGCCTGGAATGGTGCCTCAGTCCTTCCGGGTGTGGGTGGAGAATGACCAAGCATATTCTCTGACAGTCGTAATGGTTGGGAGAACTATCTGGGTAGTGGTTGTTAACGCTTGCTGCGTAACGAATGACCCCAGAAAATAATGGTTTAAGGCAACCTTTATTATCTCAGCTTCTCTCGGCTCAGAGTCAGGGTGCAGGCTCATTCCGTCCTCTGCTTCAGGGGCTTTCATGGGGCTGCAGTCATCTGACAGCTCGACTGGGGAAGGATCTGCGTCCCAGCTCACTCAGGCGGGTGCTGGCAGGATTCCGTTCCGTGCTGACGGTGGGCTGCAGGCTGCCCTGAGCTCCCCACCACGCGGGTGTCTTCCTAGGGCAGCTGACAACGTGGAAGCTTGCCTCCTGAGCTTTTGCAAGCCTGAGGAGAGGGGGAGGACAGGGGAGGGCGGGCAGCGAGAGGAGCACTACAAGGACAGCCATGACGATCTTCTGTCCCCGAACCTTGGACGCAGTTTTCATCACCTCTACTGTGTTCTGTTTGTTAGATGCAAGCCTCTACTAGGAGGAGTGAACACTGCTGTACTTAAAATGGATAACCAACAAGGACCTACTGTGGAGCACATGGAACTCGGCTCGTGTGATGGGGCCTGGATGGGAGAGGCGTTTAGGGGAGAGTGGATTCATGTCTGTGTACGGCCAAGCCCCTTCGGTGTTCACCTGAGACCACCCCCACATTGTTAACCAGCTATGTTGTTGTTTAGTTGCTAAGTCGTATCTGGTGTTTTTGCGACCCCGTGGATTATACAGAGCCCGCCAGGCTCCTCTGTCCATGGGATTTCTGGGGCAAGAAGACTGGAGTGGGTTGCCATGTCCTTCTCCAGGCGATCTTCCCAATCCAGGGATCAAACGCACATCTCCTGCATTGGCAGGCCGATTCTTTACCCCCAAGCCACCAGGGAAGCCCATTAATTAGTTATACTCCAATGCAAAATAAAAAATTTAAAAAAGGAAGAAAAATATCCAACAACCAAAAGCCTCTCTCGAGCTCAGGTGTACAAGGGAAGGAGGTCATCCTGGGGATGAACAGGCCTGAGCAGAGCGGGTGGTGAGGAGCCACGTTGGAGACCGCCTGCTCCCGGACATGACGACACGTTTTTTTCCTTCAGCGTCCACTCAGCTGAAAACCCAGGGAGTGTATGGAGCAGCCCACAGGCCTCCGGGGCAAGCAGCTGAGGAGGGAGGGAGGAAACAGGCGATGGAAGGTTCGCTGGACAGCGGAGCCTCTGCCCATCCTTCAGCAGAACCCCGCCAAGCAGGAATGGAGGCTAACGTGTCAGATCTAACTTTTCAAAAGAAGCCGAAGTCCTGGTTTTTCATGAGACACTCCTTGATTTGTAAAACTGACAGACTAGTGACCGCACACAGGATTGAGTTTCTGACCCTTCTCTTCGGCAGAGAAGGCGGGCCTTGCCTAGTCCACCACCCTCCACAGGTCTGATCACCTCTCCACGCCTGTCCTCCCGCCCCCCCATGCTGTTCGCTGAAGGTAGCGTGCGTGCCAACTCGCTCAGTCATGTCTGACCCTCTGCAACCCCATGGACTGTAGCCCGCCAGGCTCCCCTGTCCGTGGGATTGTCCTGGCAGGAATACTGGAGAGGGTTACCATTCCCTCCTCCAGGGGATCTTCTCAATCCAGGGATTGAACCCACATCTCTTACTGGGATTCCTTACCTCTAGCGTCACCTGGGAAGCCCTCATTGAAGGCAGTTCACTTCAGTCGCTCAGTCGTGTCCAAATCTTTGTGACCCCATGAACCTCAGCACCCCAGGCCTCCCTGTCCATCACCAAGTCCTGGAGTCCACCCAAACCCACGTCCATCGAGTCAGTGATGCCATCCAGCCATCTCATCCTCTGTTGTCCCCTTCTTGTCCTGCCCTCAATCTTTCCCAGCATCAGGGTCTTTTCAAATGAGTCATCTCTTCACATCAGGTGGCCAAAGTACTGGAGTTTCAGCTTCAACATCAGTCCTTCCAATGAACACTCAGGACTGATTTCCTTTAGGATGGACTGGTTGGATCTCCTTGCAGTCCAAGGGACTCTCAAGAGTCTTCTCCAACACCACTGAAGGCAGCGACCTAGCTAATTCACTTTGTACACTTTCTATAGCTCTCCGCACGTGGCAAGGCAACTGGAGATATTGTTGAATGAAATATGACTTTGCAGACATATTCTTCACTAAGGCAGACTCCACAGGCCCACCTTTACCTCCACCCGAGAGGAGTGGGTAAAAGTGGGCTCTGGGGTCTGAATTAGCTGCAGTCCTGCCACTTGCTTGTTCGAGGACCCTCAGGAAGTTACTTTTTGGAGCCTCAGCTTCTTCGTCTATGAGAACCATCATACCTGCCTCAGAGCTGTGCTCGGATCTTAATGCAATAATATACTCACTAGTACAGTGTGGCAAGAATAGGTTGTTGTTGGTTTTTTTTTTTAATTTCTTCTTGTTCTCGGCGCGCTGGCTCTTCATCGCCCCGTGCAGGCTTTCTCCAGCTGCGGCCAGCAGGGGGCCCTCTCTGCTTGCAGCGCTCGGGCTCTAGTTGCCCCCCGGCACGCGGGATCTTCCTGGACCAGGGATCGGACTCGCGTCCTCTGCTTTGCAAGGTGGACTCTGAACCTCTGGATCCCCAGGGAAACCCTCAGCTGGTACTTGCGCTCGAACCCACACACAGAGACACACACGCATTCCTCACTGGATCCACGTCTCCCCCGAATCCAAGTCATCCATCTACCCCGACCCACCCGGCTGGCAGCTAGAGGGAGCCTTTAAAACGCAGATCTGTCCTTTTCACCGCCAGGGTTCACCTCCTTCCAGTTCGCTGATGCCCTTCGGAGAACACCCAGCCTTTTAACACAGCACTTCAGGTTCTTTGGAGCTGCGCCCTCCCGGCCGGACAGTCTCTTCACCTCCCACCTCCCACCTCCCATCCCACTCCACACTCCACCATGAGTTTTTCTGCAAGCACCCTTTTCTCCACCCCGACCACCCCTGCTTCTAGTATACGTTTCAGCGATGCACCCTGGAAACTCCCGACACTTCCTGCTAAACCTGAGGGCAGGCACAGTCTATTTTCCTCACCACTGACCCTTCCTAGCACAACCCCCGCTGAGGACCCGAGGAACGCCCGCGGACCGGCCGCAGCGGGCGGACGGCGCCACCTGCTGGCCCACACCGGCACTGCAGCACCCGGACGCGGGCTCCGCCCACCCTGACGGTGATGAACAATGATTTTTAGCTTTTCTGGGAGTGGATCTCATGTCTCCTTACATCCAAATTAGCAATTAAAAAAAAAAAAGGTAATATTATGAGTATTTAACATGGGAAAGGGAGGCACTTTCCCAAGTGCCTTAGTTATTATTAACACATTTAATCTTCAAAACGACTCGATGAACTGGTTTTATCACTTGATAGACAAGGTAACTGAGCTGGTGCTGGCTGTAAAGAATCTGCCTGCCAGTGCAGGAGATGGAAGAGACGGAGGTTCGACCCCTGGGTCGGGAAAACCCCTTGTAAAAGGGCACAGCAACACACTGCAGTCTCCTTGCTTGGAGAAGCCCACGGACTGAGGAGCCTGGTGGGCTGCAGTCCACGGGGTCACCAAGAGTCGGACACGACCGAGCGCACACACCTGAGGCACAGAGGGGTCAGATGCCGCCCCAGGGGCACAGAGACTTTCACCCCAGGGGCTCTGACTTGAACCTGGGCTGTTTTTCTCCGGGATGCACTGTGCAGTTTGTGGGATACTAGTTACCCGGCCAGGAAATGAACCTGGGCCCGTGGCAGTGAAAGTGACAAGACTCGACCATTGGGCGGCCAGGGAACTCCCCGAACCTGTCCTCTGCGAGCCTGACACGCGCTGCCTCTACTTGTCCTGCGCGCCCAGCGGCCCGGCAAGGTTCCGTGCCAGACGCCGCCCTCTGCCGTGAAGCCTCTGCTGCTCCGGCGGCTTTGGGGTCACCGAAGGTCCCTGTGCAGCGAGCGCCCTACCCGAGAGCCGCAGTTCTCCAAGGGCACCCTCAGCACAGGAGTCGCTGCGGCCTCTCCTCTGCGAGGCAGCACGTGCAGCAGTCCATCCTGGCCTCCAGGCTACTGCTCCCCTCCTGTGACCCAGGAACCACCACCTCTCGGAGCCCCCATTTCCTAAGAGGGCCTCTAGCCTGCTGGGTGGATTAGACCGCAGATCCCGCGAACGGTGAGGAGCTCGGTCCCCAGTGTGGACTCAGGTGAACCCCAACTGGCTAATGGCAGTTATCACTCAGGCCCTTCCCTGGATCACGCAGTGCGTGACGCTGGGTCCCTTCACATGTTCCGCTACGGCCATTTGGAACCAAGATGTTGTGGCTACTGAAGTTGCATCGACTTTCCACCCGCTCGTCTAAAATCATTCCTATTCCATCGTTTGGGAAAACACTGGCCTGTAGCTAAGCTGTTACACATAAAAAGCTGGCAGCTGCCGATGCAGGAGACGCGGGCTGGATCCCTGGTCCGGGAAGATTCCACCTGCCGCGGAGCAGCTGGGACCATGAGCTGCAACTGCTGACGCCCCCGAACCTACAGCCTGTGCGCTGCCACGAGAACCCCGCACGTCACAACCAGAGAAAGCCCGCACCCAGCAACGACGACCCAACGCATCCAAACCAGACAAAGCATATGCTTGGTAAGAAAACCTAAGTGTCTTGGGAAACTTCTCTGGCCGTCATCATTCTAAGTGGTTTATTCACGTTAACTCTCTTAACCTTCCCCAGCCCTATGACTGTCCCCCCACGTTACAGATGAGGAAGCCAAGCACAGTGAAGCGAGTCTGGATCCCACAGCGAGCAGCTGCCGGGGACTGCCCACCTGAGCCACGGGACTGCCTCTGCTTTTAAACACATCAGACTCCCTCTGCTGGTAGAGGCTGTGTCTGCCGCCTTCACTCCCAAGCGCCAGGCACACTGCTTTGCACACTGCGGGTGTCAATAAATGTTTTAATATATAATATATACATACACACTCACACACAGAGTCACAGCCCAGGCTGACAGACACCCTTCTGCGCCTGGGAACCGGCTCCTGGAGACTCTCCGGAAGGAGCCCAGGCCTGGCAGTCTTCACAGACGACACCCAACGGGGGCACTTTTTCAGCCGAGTGGGAAGGGGAGGGGCGCCCCGTAGGGCGTACTGGCCGGCGCCTCACACAGGCCCAGAACTCTGCTGGACCCTCTTCATCAGCTCCTCGTCCTGCATAGACAGCTCTGTCAGCTTCTTGCCCATCCGCTCATGGATGTCCAGGTACTTGGAGACACACCGGTCCAGGCACACGGACTCGCCCTTGGACAGCTCTGCTTCCTTGTAGTGGGGAGGCACGCACTTCCGGTGGCAGGCGCTGGTCATTCTAGAGGAAGGGCAAGGTCGTATCAGCAGCCTGCTGTGGCAAACCAGGAACTGGCGACCACTCCTGCCCTGCGGCCCTGTTCTCACCCGCCAAGAAGGCGGCGTAAACCCCCAATCCGCACCCCACCGTCTTGGGAGGGCCTTGTCTGAGCCCATGTTTACCCCATGTTTTTGACTCATCAGACAGGAACCATTGGTTGAGTGCTGGCTACATTCCAGGCATCATGCCAAGTGCATGACATGGACTGTCATGCAGTCCTTAGGATAACTCTACGCAGTGAGCACGATCGTCACCCCCTTTTACGGAGAAGGGAAGGCACAGACAGCCTCGGGATCACGTAGAGCTGGGCTACGAACCCAGGGGCTGACTGGGGACCTCCCGGGTGGCACTAGTGGTAAAGAATCCACCTGCCAATGCAGGAGACACGGGTTCGATCCCTGGGTGGGGAACATCACCTGGAAGAGAGCATGGTAACCCACTCCAGTGTTCTTGCCCAGAGAATCCCACAAACAGAGGAGCCTGGCGGGCTACAGTACTCCATGGGGGTCGCAGAGTCAGACATGACCGAAGCAACTTACACGCACGCATGAAGCCTGATTTCACAGCTTACTTTAATAAATTATTCTCACGTATAGCCTCCAAGATAAACCCAACTAATCAAGACAGGATACCAGAGTTTTAGCCAATAAAAATAGCAAATAACTGTTGACTGCCTACTTGTGTTGGGCTTGATAAGTCTATCTTATATTTTAACATTTAATATTTATAATGTCTCTATGAGGAAGGTACTATTATGAACTCCACTTTATAGCTGCGATAACCACCAGTCTACAAGTCCAAGTAACTTGCCCAAGGCCACTGTAGTGGTGGTTGGTGTGGCTGTGATTTGTTCCCAAACTGCCAGGTGGTTATGGGCACTAGTTAGGAGTCAGACTGAAGTCCTGGTCCTGAGGTTGCTACTGACAAGCTGTGGACCCTGAGAAAGCTACTGAACCTCTAGAAGCCTCAACGTCCTCCCCTTAAAAATGAGACAAGGGAACTCAGTGGAGAGTATACAAAAATCATGCCTATACAGTGCTCCACACGTGACTGAGATGGAGGAACCACTTCAGAAATGCTGACTGCTAAGTGGGTTACCTGCGATCTGTCAAAAGGCAACCAACTGCTCTACTGTTCCCAGAACCCAACTAGAGCCAGGGCTGGACTTTCTCTTCCTGCTCGGCTCCTCCATCATCAATTTCATCCCAATCCCAATGTCCAAGTCCTTCCAGTGAGTCCACACTGCGTCTGCATTAGCCCTTAACCATGGGGGTGGGTGGAGAAGGAAACGGCAACCCCCTCCAGTCTTCTTGCCTGGGAAATCCCATGGACACAGGAGCCTGGCTGGCTACAGTCCAAGGGGCGGGAAAGAGTCAGACACGACTGGGCCACTGGGCATGCATGCGTGGGGGTGGGCATGGGTGCTGGGAAGGGAAGGATGGACCTCAGCTTATCTTAGATTGAGACGAAGATTTTTCGGAAGTCGCCCACCTCTGCCCTTGGAAAGGATGACCCGGGAGCATTCTCTAAGACAAGTAAGCAGGAGGATCGGCCTTACCTGTTGTACATGTCGGCCATCATCTCTACCTCCAGCTCCGCGGCCAGCTGCTGGGCCCTGAGTGGGTCCATCTCAGCCGTGCACCCTGGAAGAGATCTCCTGCCGGCCTCCTAGTTCCTGGGGGAGGAGGGAGACATCACGGTCAGCAGCCAGCCCTCCCATCCGCTTTCCCGTCGCAGGAGCTGCAGGACGTGGAGGAATCGCAAGGGGCATCCGACCAGGAGGGGCCGCTAATCTCGGGGAGCTCAGGCACCCCGCGTCGGACGTGGGAACCTAGGCCTCGAAGGGGAACGCGGCCCCGCCCAAGGTCGCAGAGCCGGCGACGGCGGGCCTGTAGAGCGGGTCCCGGCGCCTTGACGCCCGGCCCCTCGAGGTGGCGTCTCTCCGGGAGAAGAGGGGGCGTCCGGAACTGGGCCCCAAACGGCCGGCACGAACGCGCGGGGCCCTGCGGATCCGATGCGACGCGGCCCTGCGGGGTCAGGCCCGGGTAGACGGCCCTGGAGCGGCGGCGCCGTCGTCGGGGTCGCCGCGCGCTCGGAGCCTCTCCCCGCCGCCCGGGCCTCTCCCCGCGCCCCCGGGGCCCCCGGCGTCCGGCACACGCCACACACTCACCGCGCGCGCGGCCGGGGCAGGGCGGAAGCACGTGGGGCGCAGCCGGCGGGAAGTCCCGCCTCTCGTCCGCTCAGGCCGCGCTTCCGGAGTGAAGACCCCGCCGCGGGCGGCGCCGGGAAATCCGCCACCATAGAGAGGGAGCGGCCGGCTTCGGCCGGAGGCGAGGGAGTCCTCTGGGTGCTAGAGAGGACTGCAGGGTACCATAGAGGCTGCGGCGGGGCGTAGAGCGCCCGCAGCCGAGGTAGAGTTCGGGTCCCTAGCGGGGATGGCAGAGCGGTTTGAGTTTATCGGTTCTGTCAGAGCGGGCAGGGGTACCAAGCTCGGTGAACCTCACCCTCCGCCCCCAGGGGTGCTGAGGTCGGAGTGCAGGTCTGGTGCAGAGAAGGAAGGACGTCCTCAAACTGCAGCTCTCAGATGAATGTAACCCCACCTGGGCCGCCTAAAATCACCCCAGTGTCCAGGGCCCACGTCGCACCAAATAAATCGGTGTCCCTGGGGCTAGGACCCAGGCATCGGAATGTCGTGGGAGTGTGTCATTTCTTCGGTTCTGCCTCGTAACAGCAATAATTTGGAGCGACGGAGGTTAAAACCCTTGGACAACTCCGTGTTACAGCTGTTTTATTTAGAAAATAAAGGAAAATACGTCTTCCAGGCGTGAGGGAATGCCGACCCAAAGGGCGCGAAGAGGGGAGAGAGGAGGAGAGCTCCGGCCCTTTGGCTCCTCTTCTTATGTTTTTTCCTCCCCCTGGGCCTGCCCTGTGTAAATTGGGCTAGCCAGGAGTGCTGTTTGTTCTACCTGAGGTCCTCACTCTGGTCCCCAGACTTCCCTTTGTTCTATTTTCGCGGACTTTTCCCTCCCTTGTGTTTTAGCCACCGCCATTCTGGGCTCCTTTTTCCTATTCTAACTACCTAACAGGTCCGTTGTAGAATTCCCCAGCGATTCCCCTGTGCAGCCAGGTTTGAGAACCAGAGCTCAAGAGGGCTTTCGGGTGAATACAGCTGTGTGGAGGTCCCTGAACCGTCTCTGGGTTTGCAGAGACGTGCGTGGTTCCTTCTTGCACCAAGAGGAGTCGTGTACACAGCATGTTTAATTCAACTCCTGTTAGACGCCCCGGGCCATCTCTGCATAAGGTGATTAGGCAGCCATTACAGCTGCCGCCAGAGCTGACCTAACGGTTTTGGGTGAAGAAGAAGGGTATTTGTGAGTGTGTGAGTGTGAAGGGTATTAGTCGCTCAGTCGTGTCCAACTCTTGGCGACCCCATGGACTGTAGCCCGCCAGGCTCCTCTGTCCATGGGGGTTCTCCAGGCAAGAATACTGGAGTGCATTGTCATGCCCTCCTTTAGGGGATCTTCCCAACCTAGGATCAAACCCAGGTCTCCCACACTGCAGGCAAATTCTTTACCATCTGATCCACCAGGGAAACACAAGAATACTGGAGTGGGTAGCCTAGCCCCTCTCCAGGGGATCTTACCAACTCTGGGATCGAATCCGGGTCTCCTGCATTACAGGCAGACTTTACTGTCTGAGCCACCAGAAAACAAGACAATGTGTTTCTCCTCTGCGTGCCTGTCTCCTGCCCCCTACCCCAAGAAAAAAATCCACCTCAATCCTGGATTTTTCAAGGGATGTCCCAGTAAACAAAATTTAAAGATGCAAGGGTACATTACCCATAGGAGAAGTTGGGTCAGACAGTTTATATGGTTGGTCACAGTATACTTCCCTGAGAAAGTCACGATTTTAAATATTGGGTCTCATTACAGCACTGCTCTAAGGACTGAAACACTCTGTCGATCCCTGTGCTCTGATACTTTAAAATTGAGGTATAGGACTTCCCTGGAGGCACAGTGGATAAGAATCTGCCTGCCGCTGCAGATGGCATGGGTTCAATTCCTGGTCCGGGATGATTCCACATGCCTTGGAGCAGATAAGCCCTGAGCCACGACTACAGAGTCTGAACACCTACAGCAGACGCTCCGAAACCAGAGAAGCCGCTGCAGTGAGAAGCCCGTGCGCCACGTGAACGGGGTCCTACCCCCTCTGCAACGAGAGAAAGCCGGCATACAGCAACAAAGACCCAGGGCAACTAAAAATGAGTCAATTTTTTAAAATTGAGGTATACAATTCAGACAGTAAAGTAACACGCAGAATCTTAAGCTTAATTTTTAAACAGGTATTCATTTTATTAACCATTACCCAGATCAAGATAGAAAATACTTCCAGCACCCTAAAATGTTCTCATGTCCCTTCCCAGTCGTATCCCCTCCCCCGCAGTGAGCCTCTATCCTGACTTCTATCAGCATCAGTTAGTTCTGCCTGCTCTTGAACTTCATGTAAACGAAATTACACATTATTTTCTGTCTGTGCCTCACGTCTAACTCAATGTAGCATCTGTAAGATTTCGGCCATACAATCATGTGTCTCTCTTATGCACTTTTCTTTATTGCTGTCTAGTGTTTGAATGTATAAATCAGCCGTAGTGCATTTGTCTGTGCTCCTGTTGATGAACTTCTGGGTTGTTTCCAGTTTTGGATATTATGATAACACTGTGATATATATTATTGTACATATGTTATCCTGGTTTTTGCTTTTGAAAACATTATACACATATGGAATATTAAGAAATTACATGGAAAAGGAGATGGGTTCTTAGAGAAGAATCTGCTTCCTGGGTGGGATTTTTTTTTAATTAGATTTTATGAATGATTGTGTAACTGCATGATTCCATTTAAATCACATTCTGAAAATGACAAAATTATAGCGAGGAGAGAAAGGATTAATGAGATAGCCTAGGGTTAGAGTTGGTGCGAGAGGGAGGGAAGTGTGCCTGAGGGAATAACACAAGGCAGATCTTTGTGTGGGAGAAATGGTTCCATGTCCTGATTGTGGGTGGAGGTTTCACACAAATCTAAGCTGTCATAATACCATACAAGCCATCATATCAAGGCCAATTTCCTTGTTTTGATAATGCATATAGTTGTGTAAGATTTAGCGCTCAGTGGATAAGTCTTGGGTAAAATGTAACCTTCAGTACCCTTTCTGTACTGCTTATGTAACTTGCTATAAACCTAGAGTTATTTCAAAATGAAGTTTTAAAAATCAGTACAAGGCAAACAGAAAAAACTAGCGTATTTAACACACCTAATCCATGACAGTTGGTCAATAACAACGAAGTGGTATTTTCTTTTTAGATTTCTATTTATTAGGGCAAAGTTTAAAAGTACAGAGAACTTTTCCTGCGGGAGCCGCCGGGTGAGAGGAGCGTGGCTTTCTCCTCCCCCCGCGACGGCGTGTGCTCGTCCACTGACACCCGTGTACTCCGAAAAGGGGGGGGGTCATCTGGCAAAAAATGCCACTTTGCCTGCTGTGTTCCAGGCTCCCGTTAGACCCGATATCGTGAACTTGGCCGCACCAACTTGCGCAGAAGCAACAGAGAGCCCCCTGCTGTCGGTGGCTCAGCAGCTCGTCAAACCCTCGGGGTACCGGCAGAGTTGTGGCTCGAATTCCCAGGGTTTGAGGTGGCGGGACTCCCCGTCCTGGCCAGCTGCTTCTGGAAATATGGGTTGTGGGGGCCGCCTGTTTGCACCAACCAGGACCGGGCGACGTTGGCACCGCAGAGCAAATACATCTGCCGTGTATTCCATCTGCTCTGTGCCGGCTGCCTCGGTCCCACCAGCGCTGGTCATGCCTCAGGGTCATCGTGTAGAGCGAGCTCCTGCACTCCCTTTGGTGGCTGAAGATAAAGCTGAAGGCTACAAGAAGACCAAGGAGGCTGTGGCTTCTAAAGAAACAGGTCTGGAATGATATCACAAAGGTCTGTGCCGCTCGGCGAATGGGAGCTGGCCAAGGTGAAATGAGAAGCCGTATCCAGCGCAGGGGCCCCTGCCTCATCGATAACGCGGACAATGGTATCATCAAGGCCTTCAGAAACATCCCTGGAATCATTCTGCTTAATATAAGCAAGTTGAACAATTTTGAAACTTGCTCCTGGCGGTCATGCGGGACGTTTCTGCATCTGGACTAAAAGCGCTCCCCGAAAGTCAGGTGAGCGGTATGGCAATTGGCATCAAGCAGCCTCCCTCAAGAGTAACGACAACCTCCCCATGCACAAGATGCTCAAGGGTCTGCCTCAGCAGACCCTTGAAAAGTCCAGAAATCCAAAGAGCACTCCAAGCAACACGCAAGAAGATTCATCGCAGAGTCCTGAAGAATCCACTGGAAAACCTGAGACTCCTGTTGACGCTTAACCCACAGCAAGGACCATGCGCCGGAGCACCACTGCTCGGCAGGCCGAGAGCCGCGAAATCCACCTGGGTGAGGCGGCGGCAGCACCAGGAGCCACATCAGATCAGGAGGGGGCTCGGGGCAAGGAGCCTGCGGTGGGAAAAAAGGCTGCAGGGAACCAAGGAACCAGCAGCTGAAAAGAAGCCCGCCCCAGAGGAAAAGAAGGCTGCTGCGCACACTTACATTTGCTTATTCCATAAACGCCAACTTTTTTGGGGCAGCTGATTTGGAATAGAGACCTGAACAGAGAGGCAAGGAGAAACATGAAAAATAAATAAATAAAAGTCCAGAAATGTGGCGAGCACAGTGTACTGAACCTTCACATACCAGTCACCCATCACCAGGACTTGACCACTGTCAGCATTTAGCAGTATTTTCTCCATCTAACTGTATCTCTAACAGATGAAGTCTTTTTTCCACAATGCAGTTTTCATGCCCTTAAAGTTATAGACATCTTCACACTAAGGACGGCTGGCAATCAACAGCATCGCACTGTTCAACCACTGGTACCCAAATCTGGCTTTCAGATCATGCCAGGCATAAGCCCCCAAGTTTTCATTCCATATTTAAGCTAATTAATTAAAGTGTTTGCTTATTTAATATCTATTTACTGAGCACCCCATGTGACCCAGGCAATTTGCTGGGCCCCGGGCATATAACCATGAACAGGAAATGTAAAGCTGCTGCCCTCGTGGAGCTTAGAGTCTAGAGAGAAACCCCAGTGACAAAGAAATGGATAAGGTGACTTTGGATTTCAACAAATAGTATACAAGAAGGAAATAAAATATGCGGAGATGATGGAGAGGAACTCAAGGTCATGGGAGGCCTCTAGGAGGAAATGACATTTGAGAGCAGAAAGTCTTGCAAAGAGCAGGAGTGGAACGGTGGTAGTCCTGAGTACGGAAAGGAATCAATTTATTGAAGGAATTGGAAGGAGGCCAGGGTGGCTGAAGTGGTGGGGATGGGGAGGGGGGGGTGGTTGGGGGAGTCCCCAGCTTTGTCACAGCCCCCCTCACACATTCTCCGAAAGCAGTACACTTCTTAGACCACAGGACCCCTGGAGAAGGTAAAGAAAGATGTTCTGTTTTTCAGAGCAAAAATCTCAACTCAGCACAAAAATTTGTTCCGCACCTACTATGTCCCGGTCACTTCGCTCAAAATAGAGCTCGGTTCGGTATCGTCTGGACTCGTGAGCCATCAGCTTGAACCATCTCCCTTCTCTCTGCCCCTCCCCCGCCGCATCCATCGGGGGCCCGAGACAGGTCCCCACGGCAGCTGTCCCCTCACCCGCTCCCTCGCCCAGCCTCCTGCAGCTGCTTCAGTCCGGGGACGGGTAAAGGGGCTGTTGGAAGGCGCGTGGAGGGCACGGAGGTGCAGGACCTGGGCTCTGCACGGGCGGGGAAGCCAGCCAGCCAGCCGGTGGCCACGCTCCACAGGGGCCCGCAGACGCCGTGGGGGCCGCCAGGCCAGGCGAGGACGCGGGGAAGGAGATGGGCTCAGGACGGACGTGGGCCCAGCAGGCAGGAGCGCCGGCAGTGATTGGAAGGTGCCACCTGTCGGCGCTCCTCGGGAAACCCGAGCCTCCCCGTCCAGGGGGAGTGTTGTACCAACAGGATAGTAAACAATGCTGGTCCGTGGCCCCAGGCCCTTGCGGGGGGGGNGGGGGGGGGGGGGGGGGGAAGGTGGGGGCTAGAAGCCCAGGGGCTTAAAGACAGCCCGGGAGAGACACCGCTCAGCTCGAGGAAGGAGGCGGCTCCAGGACCCCAGACAGAGGCCCCGCAGGTAGGCGAAGCCCTGCTCCCCTTTCCAAGCGGCCCCTCCGTCTGCCGACCCCTCTGCCCACCTCCAAGGGCAGGAGCCTCTGAGCAGCGCCCCCCTGTTGGAGAAATCCTCTCCAACTCTGTCCATCGCTCTGTCGACTCTTTCGAGCCGGAGGTTGGAGACTCAGCCCTGGGGTGTTCAGCAGAGTCGCCCGCATGTGGCCACCCACCAGGACCTGATGGGCAGAGAGGGCCTCGCAGCCTTCCCAGTCCAGCTGGGGTGGGAGGCGGCGTCTAAGCAGCTGAGGCGGGCATCTCCGAGGGATGTCGCTGGCTGGAGGGCCACCGGCAGGCAGGCCGAGCGGCAGAGGCCGTGAGGTGTCAGCAGAGCTCCCAGCACGGTCCCCACTCCGTGGGGCTTGGAACCCGGGCTCCTGGCCACTCTGCCTTCCCGTCTGCCGGGACGGGAGCTGCCGCACGGGACACAGAGCCGGGGCGGACTGAAGCCTCCCCGGGCAAGGCGCGGGGACGGAGGCTACCGCGCACTTGGACGCGAGAGCCGCCCTCCTCAGCCACGTCTGACTGCCCTGCTGGGGTCCCCCTCACCCCCGCCGGGCGCCTCCCACGGGACGCTGGCTGAGGAGCTGGTAGGGGGCAGCATCTCCGGCAGAAGCTCTGGACTGGTCCTCAGGGGACCTGGGTTCTACATACAGTTTGGCCATTTAACTGTCCTAAGCACCACTGTAGTCGAGGGCCTTCCACTCCCCGAGCCTCAAATTCCTCCATCTGTAAAACAGGGCCAGTAACGCCTATTCGAGGGGTTAGAGTGAGGAAGCAGGGAGGCATGGAGGGTGCCGCAGTAAGCTTAGAATGGTCAGTGCTGCGGTGTGTGTGTTAGTCACTTAGTCGTGTCTGAATCTTTGCGACCCCAGGGACTATGGCCCTCCAGGTTCCTCCGTCCATGGGATTCTCCAGCAAGAATACTGGAGTGGGTTGCCGTTTCCTTCTCCAGGGGATCTTCCCGACCCAGGGATCGAACCCAGGTCTCCTGCACTGCAGGCAGATTCTTTACCATCTGAGCTACAGGGAAGTCACTGCTGGAGTGGGTGGTGTTATCCTAGCATCTCAGTATTCTGCATTTCTTCACTCCTTGGCTGTTTGTGACAGGCCTGGAGGGTGGAGAGCGGAGGTGAGGAACACGCAGGCTGGCTGAGGGGGTGTGTGTGCGCGCGTGTGTGCGCGTGTGTGTACACCTGCCCTTCCCCTCCACCGGGCTGTGTGTGGCGCCTGGATGAAGGGTAAGACGGCTGCGGGGCTCAGCTGTGTCTTAGCCTCTCACTGCCACATTCTGAGGCATAAAGAGGGCTCATCGTCTTGCCGGTGTCCAGTTTTCTTTGCCTTGTCTTACCAACTAAATGCCCTCCTGGCTGAGTCAGGACCTTAATCTGGCCCAGGGCAGGGCAGAAGCCAACCTACACCGTTCAAGCTGATGTAGGCTGAGTCCTCCTTCTGTGCCAGGAACGCCCCCAAACACGTTCTATGCATTGGCTTTCTTAACCCTCCACCATCCCTGTGAGGTGAGACCTATTTTTATCTCTAGAAGTCAAAACCCAGGCAGGGTAAGAAGCTTGCTCAAGGTCACAGTGGGAGCTGGGAATCCCCTCGTTGGAAGCTGAAGAATCAGTGATTTTCAGTTGTGCACCATACCACCTTCCCAACAAGAGTGCAAGGCAGGGATGGGTGTGGACCATTCAGACCAGCATCTGCTAAAGTTTCTTCTGCTAAAGGGGGCCTTGCTCAAGAGGGCAGCAGGTGTGTCTCAGGGTGGTTGTTCAGTCGCTCAGTCGTGTCCAACTCGTGGCGACCCCATGAACTGCAGCATGCCAGGCCTCCCTGTCCATCACCAACTCTCAGAGTTTACCCAAACCCACGTCCATTGAGTCGGTGATGCCATCCAGCCATCTCATCCTCTGTCGTCCACTTCTCCTCCCGCCTTCAATCTTTCCCAGCATCAGGGTCTTTTCAACACTTCTCCTCCCGCCTTCAATCTTTCCCAGCATCAGGGTCTTTTCCAGTGAGTCAGCTCTTCGCATCAGGTGGCCAGAGTATTGGAGCTTCAGCTTGAGCATCAGTCCTTGCAATGAACACCCAGGACTGATCTCCTTTAGGATGGACTGCTTGGATCTCCTCGCAGTCCAAGGGACTCTCAACAGTCTTCTCCAGCACCACAGTTCAAAAGCATCACTTCTTCGGTACCCAGCCGTCTTAGTGGTTCAACTCTCACATCTGTACCAGGGAAGCCTGTGGAAAACTAGGGCCTCCTAAGACATTAATAGGGCTTCCCAGGTGGTGTCAGTGGTAAAGAACCCGCCTGCCCATGCAGGAGGCGAAAGAGACTCAGGGCAGAGGCCACCTCAGGATAGATAAAGCAAAGTGAAAAGAAAGCAAGTAAAAGAAAACCCAAGGCCAAATATGTTTGGAGAAAAATGAGTTAAAGGAAGCTAAACAAAGTTAAGATTTCTTTACCATGGGGTATCTGCACTCTAAGTGCTAATGAAGCTGTAAGACTCTAAAACGGTTAAGGGTAGGCTGTTTTTGGAACAAGCTTAGCCAGTGAACACCCTCCTGTCCCCAGTGTAGCCCTCATTAATGTCTTATTCACTCACTCGGTCATGTTTGACTCTTTGTGGCCCCATGGACTGCAGCCCCCATGGACTGTAGCCCACCAGGCTCCTCTGCCCGTGGAATTTTCCAGGCAAGAATACTGGAGTGGGGTGCCAGTTCCTTCTCCAGGGGATCTTCCAGACGCAGGGATCGAACCCAAGTCTCTTTCGCCTCCTGCATTGGCAGACGGGTTCTTTACCACTGGCACTAGCTGGGAAGCCCTATGAATGTCTTAGGAGGCCCTAGTTTTCCACAGGCTTCCCTGGTAGCTCAGCTGGTAAAGAATTGACCTGTAACACAGGAGACCCGGTTCAATTTCCTATGTCAGGAAGATCCCCTGGAGGAGGGAATGGTTACCCACTCCAGTATTCCTGGGCTTCCTTGGTGGCTCAGCTGGTGAAGAATCTGCCTGCAACGCGGGAGACCTGGGTTCGATCTCTGGGTTGGGAAGATCCCCTGGAGAAGGGCGTGGCAACCCACTCCAGTATTTTTGCCTGGAGAATCCCCACAGACAGAGGAACCTGGTGGGTTACAGTCCACGGGGATGCAGAGTCGGACACAACTGAGCACAGCGCAGTTTTCCACAGAACACAGTTCGCTAACTCAACCCCAACCAGTCCCGTCTGTGTTGGAAATGAAGACTCTCCAGAGAGGCAAGGAGATTCGTTCCGGTCCCAGGCTTGAGGGGGAGGTCAGGGCAAGCCACCAGCTCCCTGCCGATGGGCGCTCCATCCCCCAGCTTCATTGATTTCCCTCCAGCTTTAATTCACTGCTAGAGCTGTGAACCGTGGCCTGTAGTAGGAGCGGTGAAATTGAAGGGCAGCATGAGCATCTTTGAAAATCCCAGCCCGCTTCCTGAGGAAAAGGTGGGAGACTGAACCAGGGACCCCAGGACCCGAATGGCTGGCAGGAACAGGGCCCTGGCCCGCGTACACGAGTCTTCCTGCCTCCGTCCCAACTGCTCAGGTGCCAGGGGTACTGTACCCAGAGTGACGGCCCTGCAGAGAGCGGGAGGTATTTTTAGCCAGTGACAGCAGTGTCTGCTTCTTTTATTGCCTGAGTCATGCTCTGAACATTATTTGGGGATTATTTTCTCTGTAAACAGACCCCCCCAAGAAGCAGAAGGAGGAAGGAGCTGGCTCTGTCCCCCTACCCAGCTATTTTTGTAGACTGGACAGCATAACCATCCTTCAGTGTCTGTGGGGAATCAGACCCAGCCTCCCTGGAGGACACTAAAATCTGCAGATGCTCTCGTCTCTTCTATGAAATGGTGTAGCATTTGCTGTTAACCGACACAGTCCTTCTCACACTTTAAGTGAGCTCTAGATTGCTTGCAACACCCAGGACAATGAAAACGTTATGTTAACAATTTTAATAACATGTAAATGCTACGTAAATAGTTGGAGCAGCTGCAGATTTAAGTTTTGCCTTTTGGACTTTTCTGGACTTTTTTTGTTTTTCAAATATTTTCCATCCAAGGTTGGCTGAACCCACAGAACCCAAGGATATGAAAGGCTGACTATACATACAGTACTTGAAGAGGAAACCTCACATTAAAGTGTCACGCGCTCCCTTTCCTCCCACCCCCGGCAGCTGGAGGATCAGACTTCCCTGAGGAGGTTAATCAGGGAGAGCACATATCTCTTCTTCACCCAAGGGAACTCTGCCATGCCCAGGGCCAGCTCTCCGGAGCTGGCAGAGAGCCAGACCCCATGCAGGCCCGGGGCTCCGCAAATCTCAGGCATCTTTACGCCATCTCCACAGCTTAAGTATCTTGTATCCTGCTTTCCTGAACATATTCCTTCGAATTAGCTGATTTTAACTTCAATAAGTGTATTTATAACAGAAACTTTATATCACTATTGGAAATGGAAACTCCGCGTCACCGGCCAGAAATAGAACGTAACTGTAAAAATAAATCCAACTGGAATCAAAGCAGTCTTATTTGATTCTATCTAGAGATTCCTGTCTGCTTTGGGCTCTGAGCCTGCAGGCCCTGAGGACAGCTATCTCCATCAAAAGGAAAGAGGAGTAACTGTCCAGGGATGCAAGTGTCAAACTGTAACCACCTCGCTGACTTATCCAAAAAAGAGGCCAAATCATTGAAAAGGCATTAGGTGACTCAGCGTTCTTGTTTTTTTAAGGGTTTTTGTTTATTTATTTGCCTTTAGCTGTGCTGGGTCTCTAGGCTTTCTCTAGTGGCAGCGAGTGGGATACTCTTCCCTGCGATGCCCAGGGCTTTTCTTGTGACGGCTCTCGGGCTCAGGCGTGCGGGCTCAGTAGTCCTGGTCCAAGGACTTAACTGCCCCTCAGCACGTGGAATCTTCTCGTACCAGGCATCGAACCCGTGTCCCCTGCATTGGCAGGCAGATTTTTAACGACTGGACCACCAAGCAAGTCCTGACCCAGTGTCCTTTAAAGCCCAAGTCACAACCTGCAGAGGACGGTTCGGTGGACGGCAAGTGAACATAGCTGGCCCAACACTGCCTTTGGGGGAAGTGGGGCCCTCCCCCTCATTTAGCCAGACAGAAAGTGGGTGCTGATGTCTCATGTCCCAGCAATGGGGGCCCCGGGACTGAACTGAAGGTGTCCAGACTCCAGGGCCTTCACCTGGAGAAAGCGGGCATGACCGGCTGTGTCTGTCTTCTCTTTCCAGAGATGGAGCAGAAGGCGGGGAAGCCCACTGAGGACGGGGCCACTGTTCCCCCAGCCGCGGAGGCCCCGGAGACCGCGGGAGGTGGCGGGTCTGCGGAGGAGGCGGCCGCAGGGCTTGCGGAGGAGGCGGCCGCAGGGCTTGTGGAGAAGGCAGCCGCAGGCCCCACCGAGAGCGCCGCCAGAGCGGGCCAGCAGGAGTGGGCCCCGGCCGAGGACAGCGCTCCCGCTGAATGCCAGGCTGACGGGCTGGGTGAGGTCAAGGCGGAATCCCAAGGGGAGGCTGGCCTTCAACAGGAAGACAGGGGGCAGGGAGAGACCACCGCGGCCCCTGGGAAGACCGACAGGAGAGACCAGACCCACTCTGAGCCCGCGGGGGCGGAGAGAGAAGGGGAGACCGCGTCAGCCTCTGAGAAGCCGAGGGCTGACGAGAAAGAGGCCAGGCCTGGGTCTAGGGAGAGCGTCGACGCGAGCGGAGAGGCCCAGGCCGAGCTGAAGCAGGCTTCCGCGGCGCAGGAGGCCGAGGCTGGAGGCAGGGAGGCCGAAGGGAAGGGCGAGGCCGCCGAGGCCCCTCAGGAGGAGGGCGGCAAGGCGGAGGAGCCCCGGGCTGCAGCCCAGGAGGAAGCTGGCGCTCCAGCGGCCCAGCTGGGCTCTCCCAAGAAGGCCGCCGGGGCGGAGGAGGCCACGCCCGAGCCACAGGAGGAGGAGGTGACGGAGGGGGTGGTGAGTGAGGAGGCGGGGAGGAGGGAGGGGGAGGGGGCCCCACGGCGGCCCAGAGTACCCCCCAGAGCCCCCGGCCCGCTTTATTCCTCCAGGAAAGTCCCGGAGCCTGGGTGGGAGGCGGGGGGCCGGGGGAGCCGCACTCTGGCCCCGGGCTGCCTTCCAGATCTTTCTGAAGCGCTCGCAGAGCCTCGGGCAGGCACGAGCTCACCCAGCGCGTTCCTCCAGGAGCCGGGCGGTCCTGCTGACGAGCAGGAGGAGGGTGCGGGGGCCGAGGCCGAGGACGGGGCAGGGGGGCCTCCCAGCTCCCCGGAGGGATGGCCCGAGAGCCCCACGGAGGAGGGCGGCAGCGCCAGCCCAGGTGAGGGGGCGCCCCGGGGGGTGTGGGGGGCGTGGGCAGGCCAGGACCCCACCTGCTTCAGGGCCCCCCGGGGGGCGTGGGGGGGCGCACCAGATTGCCCTGCTTCCCTCCCTCCTGTTCCTCTCCCTCAGAGGGGCTGAGCCCAGACACCGCGGCTTCTGAAGAGCCAGGTCCTTCAGCCAGGTAATGTCCAACGCTGGAGCCCCAGCTCCGCCCCAGCCATCACCACCTGCTCCCTTCAGAACCTGCTGTCCCCTGAGACTGGGCCTCCAGCATCTGGGCTCGAGATATGCCAGAACATTGCTGCCCCTAGCTCAGGGCAGAGCTGGGGAAATGAGAAGTGCTGGAGTGGGGAGCAGTGGGCGGTGGGGCCTCCCTGGTTGCCCCCCCCCAGTGCTGAAGAAGCCTCCTCCCCAGCACCCCCAGGACTCCTCATGGGAGCCCCCAGCCTTGTCTGTCCCCGCAGTCTCAGCATCACCGGTCGGGTGTGAGCAGAAAGCTGCGTTTGGACAGCACCGCTGCCTGTTGCTGTGTTGGTCGCTAGGCTGGTCGTGTCTGACTCTTTGGGACCCCATGGACCCTAGTCCACCAGGCTCCTCTGTTCATGGGATTTCCCAGACAAAAACACTGGAGAGGGTTTGTCATTTCCTCCTCCAGGGGCTCTTCCTGACCCAGGGATGGCACCTGAGTCTCCTGCCTTGGCAGACAGTTGTTTTTTTTACCGCTGAGCCACCAGGGAAGCCCCGGCTGTGTGACTGTGGCTACATCACTTCCCCCTCCTCCCCTGGGAAGTGGGCACGGTCAGGGTACCTGCCTCATAGGCTTCTTGTGAGGCTCAAATGACGTCTGTGTATAAAGCACTCAGCTTGATGCCTGATGCCTGAAAGGTGCTGGATGACACAAGAGCCTTCCCCTCGCCAGGGCACAAATTTTGTCGTTAGAAGCTGCTGCTGCTGCTAAGTCGCTTCAGTCATGTCCGACTCTGTGCAACCCCATTGACAGCAATCCACTAGGCTCCTCTGTCCCTGGGATTCTCCAGGCAAGAGCGCTGGAGTGGGTTGCCATTTCCCTCCCCAATGCATGAAAGTGAAAAGTGAAAGTGAAGTTGCTCAGTTGTGCCTGAGTCTTAGTGACCCCATGGACTGCAGCCCACCAGGCTCCTCCATCCATGGGATTTTCCAGGCAACAGTACTGGAGTGGGGTGCCATTGCCTTCTCCAGTCATTAGAAGAGTATTCCTTTATTTCGAGCTGAAAGTCACCTCCATGTGACCTTCTTAGGGAAAGGTATCTGGTGAGCTTTCACATTCCCCTTCTTACAGAGCCTTAGACCCACCTTGCCAGGTACCTATTCCCATTATACAGACAAGCAAGCTGAGGCTCAGAGAAGTGCCATGACAGTCCCAAGTTGTTGTTCAGTCACTAAGTCACACCTGACTGCGACCCCATGAACCACAGCACGCCAGGCCTCCCTGTCCTTCACCAACTCCTGGAGTTTTCTCAAACTCAAGTCCATCGAGTCAGTGATGCCATCCAACCATCTCATCCTCTGTCGTCTCCTTCTCCTCCTGCCCTCAATCTTTCCCAGTATCAGGGTCTTTTCAAATGAGTCAGTTCTTCCCATCAGGTGGCCAAAGCAACTTCAGCATCAGTCCTTCCAAAGAATATTTAGGGTTGATTTCCTTTAGTACTGACTGGTTTGACACTCCCAAGATTACGTGGCAAATAAGAGGCCTAGGCAGGATTCTAACTCAGGTTAGACCTCAGATGTGCCCTAGTTCTAACCTAGGCAGTCGGACTGAACCTCAGTCTTCCTTCTCAGCGCCTCCTAGGGCTGGGCCTGAAGGCACGTGTGTGAGGCAGCCATGTAGCTCGGTAGCCTCTTGGGCCGGTAGGGACCACTGCCCAGCCAGCCTCCTCCCTGTAGGGGCGGGTCCCAGCCCCTCTCACGCTCCTCTGAACGTTTCCAAGCGGTGACTCTTCGCCCAGTGATGTGCCCCAGAGCCCCACGGAGGCCCCTCCGCCAGAGGAGAAGAAGAAAGAGAAGGCACCAGAGCGCAGGGTGTCCGCTCCTACCCGGCCCCGGGGACCCCGAGCTCAGAACCGCAAGGCCATCGTGGACAAGTTCGGGGGGTAGGATTTGGGCGAGGGGCTGGCGGAGCGGAATTGGTGGGAGGATGGGGTGGGGGAGAAACAGCCCGAGCCCCAGAGGGACATCTGATGCCCTCCCTATCCTGGGAGGACTGACGTCTGATGAGGAGGACTGCCGTCTGATGGATCTCCCGCCCCGCCCCGGCGCGCAGGGCGGCCTCGGGCCCCACGGCCCTGTTCCGGAACACCAAGGCGGCTGGCGCGGCGGTGGGTGGCGTTCGCAACATGCTGCTGGAGTGGTGCCGCGCCATGACCAGGAGCTACGAGGTGCGTGCGGCGGGACGGCGGCCTTGCCGGGGTGGTGGTGGGGCGGTTCGACGGGGCGAGGCGCAGGCCCCTGATGCGGCTCCCGCCTCCGCAGCACGTGGACATCCAGAACTTCTCCTCGAGCTGGGGCAGCGGCATGGCCTTCTGCGCGCTCATCCACAAGTTCTTCCCCGACGCCTTTGACTACGCGGCGCTGGACCCCGCGCAGCGCCGCCACAACTTCACGCTGGCCTTCTCCACCGCAGAGTAAGCCGGGCGGGGGCCGCCGCGCGGCGGGGACTGGGGCCGGGGCCCCTGGAGGGCGGGTCATGCCGAGCCCGTGGCCACACCTCCTTGAGTCCGACAGGTGCTTCTCGGATGCAGTGAACTGGCTGAGGACCAAGCAGTGGGCGAAACCCACAAAATCCCCGCTGCCCGTGACGCCTATTCTATTTTATAGTATTTTATTTTTTGGCCGTGCCCCGTGGCATGTTCCTCAACCAGGGACCAAACCTTCACTCTTGGCGTTGGGAGCACAGAGTCTAAATCACTGGCCCACCAGGAAACTCCCGTGACTCACATTTGAAAGAGACAGATAGCAAATACACATGCATGCAGAATAAAATATGAGGAGACAGGCAGGGAACATGCAGGTGGGTAAGAGATAAAGGAGGGGAAGACTGGGAGTTTGCGATAGGGAGTCCCTATCACAGTGCCTAACCCGCGGCAAACATTTCAAATAAACAAGAATCTTAGCTGCTGTTCTATACTAAATGAATGATATCACAATTGTTATGTATTTTTAAAATTTACTTCTTTTTGGCTGCACGGACTTTCTCCAGTTGTGATGAGCAGGGTTTCCTATTCCTCATATAGTGCACAGGCTTCTTTTGTCCAGGCTCTAGGCTCTTGGGCTCCAGCAGTGTGGCTGGCCCACAGACTTCGTTGCCCCGAGGCATGTGGAATCACCCCAGACCAGGGACTGACCCGTGGTCCCACACTGACAGGCGGATTCCCAATCACAGGACTGCCGGGGGAGCCCCTGTGATGACCCTTGTTATTCGCTATGGGACCTGGAAGGAGACTTACTGCTGAGGTTCACACAGCCGGGTTCCAGGACCAGACAGGCAGGAGGGGCGTGAGGAGCAGCGGAGCCCAGGGAAGACCCTGAGAGGCGAACGCAAGGCTGCCGGGTGGTGGGAGCGGAGGCACCCACCCCACCAAAGCCCCAAAGCCAGACTTGCCCAAAGGCTTCCACCTCCCCCGGGAGGCCGGCCGGTCCCCCAGTGGCCTGGAGGCTCCCGGGAGCTCATGCTGGGCCACTCTTCCTTTCCTGCCCAGGGGAGGCTTCTGGGCCACCTGGTCTGGGCAGAGGGTGTTGTCCACGAGGACTGCTCCGGGGTCCGGGAAGGGATGGCTGAGGGCACTTCTGAAGGCCCGGAGGAGGGGACAAGTCACTGGGGGTGCTGGCAGCGTCTTGGTCCGGGAGGCCGAGCTCTCTGAGCGAGTTCAGGCCTGGCCACCAACCCGCGGGGAAGCCCGGGGCAGCCACCCTCCCCTCTCTGGGTCTGCGTGTCCCCACTGGCAAAACCAGACGGCTGATACTGACTGGTGCTTTTCAAATGGGTCCCCCACCCCACCGGCAGCTTCCTCAAACAAAACAGTAAGTGGATGCCCAACACAGGAAACAGATTTAAGGGCAGCCTTTTTAGGCTGGGAGGAGATCCCGGGGCACCCCAGGTCAGTCCAACCCCCTTCCTAAGATGGTCCTGAAGCACGTCTCCTGGCCCTTGGGCACCGAGGATCCCATCTGAAAACTCCTAGGCTTGGTTCTGCAGAAGGGCTTCCCAGGTGGCTCAGTGATCTAAAAAAACCCGCCTGCCAGTGCAGGAGATGCCAAGAGACCCGGGTTCAATCCCGGGCTCGGGAAGATCTCTTACAGGTAGTGGTTTAGTCTCTAAGTCGTGTCCGACTCCTGAGACCCATGGACTGTAGCCCACCAGGCTCCTCTGTCCATGGGATTCTCCAGGCAAGAGTACTGGAGTGGGTTGCAGTTTCCTTCTCCAGGGGATCTTCCCGACCCAGGGATTGAATCCGGGTCTCCTGCACTGCAGACAGATTCCTTACTGAAATGACAACCCACTGCAGTATTCTTGCCTGGAGAATCCCATGGACAGAGGAGCCTGGTGGGCTACAGTCCATGGGGTCACAAGGAGTCGGACACGACAGCATGCACGCGTGCATGCGGAGTTGGTGCTCTGGAAGGTCCCTTCGGTTTCACGTTATCCTGCCCTGGGCTGGGGCAGTGCCCTGGGCTGGGGGTGGGGGTGAAGGGGTCAGGAGCCCTGTGTCTTGCTCCAAGCTCAGAGCACCTTTAAGGGCCATGACAAGCCATGGGAACCAAGCGTGATCAGACGCCAGGCGTCCTGCTAAGCGCTTCTCTTGGATCGTCTGATTTGACGGTCACAACGATGCGTGTGTGGCTGCAGCAGGGAGATAACGGGAGGCTGGTGCAGGAGGGTGCGGCCGACCCGGCCCTGGAAAGGGAAACTCCTGGCCGGGACTGCGAGCTCTCGGTCACCATCAGAAGGGCTTGTGGCTTGGCCCTGACAGGCGTCCCTGGCCTCTGGGCCGCAGGTCATTGTCCTCCTGCAGCTGCCAAGCTGTGTGTGGCCATGCTGTGAGGAGTGCGGGATCTTAGTTCTCTGACCATGGGAGACTGGGGGTCACACGTGCACCCCCGCCCTGGGAGCTCCAAGCCCTGACCGCTGGACCACCCAGGGAGTCCCCCTCCCTCGCTCTCTGACCCTCGGCAGCTGACGGAACCTCTCCTAAGGCTGGATGTGCAGACGACGTGTGCAAAGTAAGGGGCCCGGCCACAGCTGGCTCCCTTCTAGGAGGCTTCTCTGATTCCTCTGGAATAGTCCCGCCCTGGCTCCCCAGGCCCAGCCTCTCCCGGGTGGAAACCGCACCGGACCCAGAGCCGGGAGCCAACAGCAGGCATTGGTGGCGGGAAGCTCGTCCTGTTCCTCTAAGCCCCTCAGTCTGCGCTCCTCGCCTGCGCCCAGGCCCGTCTGGCTTGGCTGTCAGTCCAGCTGACTCAGCCCTGAGAGGACGCCCGCCAGGACCTGGTGGCCCCTCCTGCCGGCACCCTGGGCGGCCTGCTGGGACCCAGCTTCAGGGCTGGGATGCCAGGCGCGTCCGACAGGCCCGCGGTGGAATCCCCGCTGTGCTGCTCGCTTTGGGCAAACCACCAAGGTGCTGTGAGTCTCCAGGTCCCCTTCTGCCGGCTGAACACAGAGGAGTGGAGGAAACAAGACCAGTCAAGAGAAGGCATTTAGGAGCTCCCTGCTGGCCCAGGGGTTCGGACTCCAGGCTTTGCCCTGGGCTGGGCTGGCTCAGTCCCTGAGTTGGGGAGCTGAGATCCTGTAAGCTGTGCAGAGCAGCAAAAAAAAAAGAAGGGTAGAGGGAAACACTTGATAAGGCTCCTGGAATGTGGTGGCAAGGCCCTGACAATGCTCAGATCAGATGGTCGGCCTCAGCGAAGCCAGGAGTAGCCTGTGGTCCCAAAGAGCAGCTGGGAAGCTAGAGAAACAGGACTTGCTGCTAAGTTCCATGCAGTTGCTCAAGCACTGCTGCCTCAGGACGTTTGCACCTGCTGTTTTCTCTGCCTGGAACCCCCTTCCTGCCAATATGTACCTGATTTACTCTCTTTAGGAGAACTTTCCTGAGCTTAAAAGTCCTCTTAAGAGAACTTTTCCTATTAAAAATCTCTTTGAGGAACTCCGGGCTTCCCCGGTGGCTCAGATGCTAAACAGTCTGCCTGCAGTGTTGGAGACCCGGGTTTGATACCTGGATCAGGAAGATCCCCTGGAGGAGGAAATGGCAACTGACTCCAGTGTTCTTGTCTGGAAAATCCCAAGGACAGAGGAACCTGGTCAGCTACAGCTCATGGGTTGCAAAGAGTCGGACACGACTGAGCAACTTGTCTCTCTCTCTCTCTCTCTTTCTGGGGAACTCCCTGGCGGTCCAGTGGTTAGGACTCTGCACTCTCATTGCCGAGGGCCCAGGTTCAATCCCCGATGGGGGAACTAAAATCCCAGAAGCTGCGAGACACTGACAATAAATAAGTAAATGCCATCACCAACATAATATTACAAAAGCAAACCCCCTTGAGCCCAGAAACATGTCCTGTCCTTCCCTGCCTTCTTTTTCTCTATAGTATCTCTCATCCTCTGGTGTACCATCAATTTCTATTTGACGACTGCCTGTTTTCTGCCACGAGAACATTGATGAGGATGGGGGATTCTTATTTTGTTCAGTGATGAACTCCCCAGAAGGCCTAGCACGCGGCGCCCCTCAGCACACACACAGAGCCTGTAGAAGCTGGAGAAGTTGAGGCTGCACGCCCACACTCCAGCCGGGATTAGGGGTCTGTGCTTTTAACTCTTCCTGCGGGGCCTGTCCTTCTGGATGACGGACACGGGCGCACACAGAAGGGTGGCTCACGCGGAGCCCGAGACCAGAGGGTCGCACTCCCAAGTGCAGACACGCGGGGCAGTGAAAACACGGCTTTAGAGTCAAGCCACGCTGAGTCTGAGTCTTGACTCTGCTGGACCGCAACTGTCTCATCTGTACAGTGGGATGGTTGCGCCAGACGAAGTCCCAGCGCTGCTGCACGCAGTCCTGCGGGCTTCATCCTTAGGGGGCTGCCCCACCCCGTCCCTTAGCCCCCCCACCTCTCACCCCTCCCCCTCTGCCCCTCAGGAAACTGGCCGACTGCGCCCAGCTGCTGGAGGTAGACGACATGGTGCGGCTGGCGGTGCCTGACTCCAAGTGTGTCTACACCTACATCCAGGAGCTGTACCGCAGCCTCGTGCAGAAGGGGCTGGTCAAGACCAAGAAGAAATGAGGGGCTGGCCAGTGCTGGCCCGGAGGTTCCCTTCAGCTCCACGGAGGCGGCGGGGCTGGGCAGGCGGCCCCAGTCTTAACTGCATTAAAGGCTGTTTTGTAAAATCCTGTCTGGCTCCTCGGGGCTCCCTCCCTACCCCGCCGGGAGCCTCTCTCACTCTGGGATAAGCAGCCCCGGCCTCCCACTTTCCTCACCTGATGTGATTTTCTCAACAACCGTGACAGGCATCTGGGACGGGAGTGTGCTGGGTCTTGTCGCCAAGAAGCTGTGTGTCCCTGGGCCATTGAGCGAACCTCTCTGAGCTTCAGTTCACCATCTGAACGGGGATAATAGCGGCTCAGAATCCCGCAGGTGCTGTGAGGGTTAAATGGGATCACGTAGACAGTATCACCAGCTCAGTGGTTGTGATTTTGAGCAAACTCTGGGAGACAGTGGGGGACAGAGGAGCCTGGCGTGCTGCAGTCCACGGGGTCAGAGAGAGTCAGACGCGACTTAGCAGTCTAGCGACTAACAACAGATGACAACAAAGGACAAAAAGCCTCGCCTGGGGCCTGCCACATAGACGTTCTCTAAGCAGTGGCCCAAAGTAGCGACATCCTCACGTTTCCAGCCACGGGGGGCACTTGCCCACAGCTTTTCCCCTCTCCCCACACTTCTCCTAGAGTAGGGAGTTCCAGGACAGGGACTGCTGTAGAAGATGCTCTAGAACTCCCACTCAAACCAGGCTCGTGGGACCTGGAGGTGATGTCTTTGACTCAAAGATCCTCCACGTTCTGTCTCTGAAAAGCCTGTGGTTTGGGGATTTCCCTGGCAGTCCAGTAGTTAAGACTCCACACTTCCACTGCATGGGGGCACGCGTTCAATCCTGAGTCAGGGAGCTAAGATCCTGCATGCTGTGTGGTGAGGCCCAAAAAATGAAGAAAAAAAAAAAGCCAGTGGTTTTGGAACCACCGCATCCAGAAGCTCCTCCTCTGTGCTCAGGTAACCCTCAACGCTGAGGTTTTGCCTGTTTTCCCTCTGCTCACTAGAGATGAGCCCTGGAGCTGAGTTCGCTGCTGCAGCTGCTTAGTATTTCTGTCGTGTCCAACTCTGTGCGACCCTGTGGACTGCAGCCCGCCAGGCTCCTCCGTCCATGGGATTCTCCAGGCCAGGACACCGGAGTGGGTCGCCATGCCCTCCTCCAGGGGGATCTTCCCGACTCAAGGATGGAGCCTGGATCTCCTGCCTTGCAGGCAGATTCTTTACCGCTGAGCCAGCGGGGAAGCCCAGAGCTGACTCTAATTTCCTGCTAACAATCCTATCTGGCTTTATCGGCTGTTGGGAGCATGTGCGCTGATGAGAACAGCTCATGAAAAACACAGAAATGGAAACCCGCCAGCTTGGCACTGCAGCCAGAGGTGCAGACTCTGCCCAGATGAGCGGGGTGGACGTGGCAACCCACCCAACGGCTGCGTTAGCCTTGGCTGCCTCCTGCCTAAGACGGGGGCGTCATTCCTGTGGGGGGGGGTCGACGACCCCTCTGGCTGAGGGTGGCCGGGCCCCTCACAGCCAGCTTTCCCCACAGCGCTTGGGGTCACACAAGGCTCCGCGCCCTGCGATGAGGCGGAAGCAAGCTAAACCCCCAGCCTCCTCCCTGAGCCACTTGCCCCAAGTGAACGCTCAGGTGGACCCTGTGTTTAACGGCGGAGCACAGTCTCCATGGCTCCCCCCGGACTCAAGCTGGAAGGGAAGCCCCTCCAGGCGTAAAGCCTGCCCCTAGGAACCCGCCACCGGACGGGACAGCAGTGGTTTAAGAACCATGAAGTCAGGGCTCCCCTGGTGGCCCAGTGGTTGAGACTCCGCCTTGTAGTGCAAGGGACGCCAGTTCGATCCCCCGTCCGGGAAGATTCCACTGGCCGCGGGGCAACTAAGCCCACGTGCCGTAACTACCGAGCCCATGAGCTGCAGCTACTGAGTCCGTGTGCCTGCAGCCCGTGCTCCGCAAGAGAGGCCGTGCGATGGGAAGCCCGGGGCCGCAACTCGCGAGGCGCGCCCCCTTGCCGAGACTCCAGGAACTGCAACTAGCGTGCAGCTCCCCCTTGCTGACACTCCAGGAAAGCCAGCAGTGAAGGTCCCGGCACAGCCAAAAAACGAAATACAGAAGTAAATCTTTAAAAAGAAAGCTAAAGTCCACACAGTCAGATTTCTGGGGTGGAGAGGAGATTCTTCACTTTATGAGTCATTAGTGGAAATGGAAAGGTTTTGCACCTAAATCTATACCTGTCTATGATTAAACCGCCCCATCCCCAGAGCACTTTGTAAGAGGCCCTCCTCCCCCTGACCCCTCCTCGTCATTCCACCTGACCTGCTGTCCCCGCTCCCCACCTCCTCCCCCGCAAGCAGGGCCCTATGGGGGGCGGGGATTCGGGTTGGCTGCTCAGCCGGCTGGGAAGGTGGCTGAGTCTCTAAGATGGGCCAGTCGGTGGGACCAGGAGCCCCCATCCCAGAGCACTGGAGAGCTGGATTTCGAGTCTGCAAACGTAAATGCCTCTGGCTCCGGGGCAGAGAAAGGGGCTGGGGAAAGCATATCTGTGGCCAGTGGGTCCACACTCATAACAGCAGTACACACCCGCTACACACACACACACACACACACACACACACACACAGAACCTAAGAAGGAAATCTTGGAAGACACGAGCAGGTGCAAAATCGCCAAGGGGCTCTGGCTCCCCCTCGCCACCGTGTCCACGAGGGGCATCCTCCATCCGTCACACAGAAAGCAGCCGGGTCAGAAGCCAGGTTAGGAGGGCCGGTCCACTCCAAACTGTAGGGTGAACTCTTGGGCCGTCCGGTCAAACAGCTCTGGGTCCTGTGTCAGCTGCTCCGCGAGCTCTAGCCGAACGGGCTCTCCTGGCTCCGGTTGATTCACCAGCACGTTGAGGGCCTCCAAGACTGGGGAGAGAAGTCAGATCAGGACATCAGGAGGGAGAGAAAAAACTCCTGGGAAGGAAGTGATGCTGCTCACTCCCAGATCCCCCGACACCCACACCAACATACGTCTTAGGACGGCTCTGAGACCAAATCAGATGCCACCCTGCCCCCGATGACGGTGTCCAAAGCTCTCACGAGCAGTTGCCTCTGTGGTTTTCAACCTGTGTTCCACGGTGTCACAGAGTGTCACAAGGTGTCACAACCCCCGTCACGGGGTCGGTGAGATCGACGCGGTTTCTGGGTTCTGTTCCCTTTTCAGCCAGAACCGCTCTGCTTTTGTTGCGTCTGACTGAGACCCCGAGGACTGCAGCACGCAGGCGCCTCTGTCTTCCACTGTCTCCTGGAGTTTGCTCAAATTCATGTCCGTGGAGGTGGTAATAGGATTTCAAAAATTTTTTATTTGGGGGAAAAGGGTTCCGAGGCTCAAGACTGGAAACCACTCCTGCCCCGTGGCTCGAAATCTTTCATGGGTGACTTTGGGAGCCTGGCGAAGGCGGTGCCCCCACCTTGTGCATGTCGGCATGCACACAAACATGGGTTTCTGGGTCAGAGCACTCTGCTCACCGAGGACCACGCCTCCCCCTCTCCCCAGCACTCTGCTTTCCAGGGTTAAGAACTCCCGAGCTGATCCCGAGGTGGGATTTTTTAAAAGTATTTATTTGGCCTCTCTGGGTCTTCGTTATGGATCTTTAGTTGCAGCCTGTGGGATCTAGTCCCCTGACCAGGGATCAGATCTAAACCCCTTGTGTGGGGAGTGTGGCGTGTTAGCCACTGGACCACCAGGGAACTCCCCTGAAACAGGACTGATCACATGCTGATTGTGTCTGTAGTCTAGGGCCACAGTGCCCGACATGTAGCTGCCAGCCATGGATGGTCATCTCGATTTAAATTAATTGAAATTCATGACAATTAGGAATGCAGTTCAATTGAGCATATACACAGAGAAAACGCTAATGCAAAAAGCTACGTGTACCCCAATGTTCCCAGCAGAACTATTTACAATAGCCAAGATATGAGTGCAACCTAAATGTCCATTGACAGGGGAGTGGATAAAGAAGACGTGGTAGACAGGTACAGGGAAATATTAGTCAGCCATAAGAAAGAGTGAAAGGATGCCATTTGCAGCAACATACGGATGGACCTGGAGATTACCGAATGAAGTGAAGGAAGTCAGGCAGAGAAGGACAAATACCATATGATATCACTTACATGTGGGATCGTAAGAAGATACAAGTGAACTCATTTACAAAACAGAAACAGACTTACAGACCTGGGGGAAAGCAGGAGAGGAGGGCTACACTCGTAGTTTGAGGTGAGCAGATAAAAACTACTGTATGTAAAATACAGAAACAGCGAGCCCTATGGTGTATCACAGGAGAATGTACCTTATGATAAATGGCAGTGGGAAAGAATATGAAAAGCATACACATACATATGTACACCGGGGTCCCTTTGGTGTGTTCCATAAATGAACACAACATTGTAAGTGAGCCATAAAAGCGAGGTGAAGTCGCTCAGTCGTGTCCGACTCTGCGAACCCATGGACTGCAGCCCGCCAGACTCCTCTGTCCATGGGGTTCTCCAGGCAAGAGTACTGGAGTGGGTGGCCATTTCCTTCCCCCCAAATTAACCATACTTCAGTAAAAAAAAAAAGTGAACTAAAAAGACAGCGTGTGAAGCTTTTAGCGCAGTGTCAGAGTACCTAATGAAGTGATGTCCTTACCGTCATTAGGCCCGCCCCTTCGGCTGTCTCTACAGCATCAGAGCTTGCTTCCATCACCAGTCCCATCCACAGCTGGGTGCTGATTCTGCTTTGGCTTTGTCCCTTCATTCGTTCTGGAGCTACTTCTCCACTGATCTCCAGTAGCATATTGGGCACCTACCGACCTGGGGAGTTCATCTTTCAGGGTCCTATCTTTTTGCCTTTTCATATGGTTCATGGGGTTCTCAAGGCAAGAATACTGAAGTGGTTTGCCATTCCCTCCTTCATTCTTTCTGGAGTAATTTCTCCACTGATCTCCAGTAGCATATTGGGCACCTACCAACCTGGGGAGTTCATCTTTCAGTGTTCTATCTTTTTGCCGTTTNGCAAATTCAGTCATTCAGTTGTGTCCGACTCTTTGCGACCTCATGGACTGTAGCCCACCAGGCTTCTCTGTCCATGGAATTTTCCAAGCAAGGATACTGGAGTGGGTGGTCATTTCCCTCTCCAGGTGATCTTCCCGACCCAGGGATCAAACCCGGGTCTCTCGCATTGCAGGCAGATGCTTTACCCTCTGAGCCCCCAGGGAAGCCCCTGTAGTTTCTGGCCTGGGAAATTCCATGGACAGAGGGGCCTGGAAGCTACAATCCCTGTAGTCACAAAGGAGTCAACCTAACTTAGCGACTGAACAACAATAAACAGGAACGACAGACACAAAAGTGGTCCCGTGACTCCACCCCCCACTGCCCGTTCAGTCAGGGCCCCCCGTCCAGGCAGGAACCAGCCTCACCTTGGCAGATCCTGGTGCTGGCTTTCCAGTTCTTCTTGCTGATGATGGGCAGGCACACCCTCCCGTCCCTGTCCACGTTGGGGTGGTAGATCCTGGTGGTGAATTTCACTGTCGGGGGTTGGAACGGGTACTCCCTGGGGAAACTGATGCACACGCTGAAGGCCTTGAGGTTGTAGGGTGGCCTCTCCTGTATGAGAGAAGGGGTCATGCTCTAGGCTGAGGCACAGCTGCCCTCTTCCCCCAGGACCTGGGCCTGGTGTCCCCGCTCCCCGCCCCGCCCCAGGGCCCAGGTTTCCTCTGCTCCACTCCAAGGAAGGACCGTGAATGCAGACACAGATGGCCCCTGCATTCACTTAGCAACTGGGCTGTGGGTCAGTAGGGCCCTGGCCTGGGGCCCGCATGAGTCAGATCCTGGCTTCTGCTATGCGCCCGAGGGCCGGCTGCCTCCCACCCCTAAGCCTCAGTTTCCTCCCTTGAAAAACGGGTACAGTTTGACTGGAGGTGTCCTCAGGACCTTCTTAGCTTCTTTTAATTATGTCGGTAATTAACATCTTTCCAGTTTTATTGAAAAATAACTGATACACATCACTAAGCTTAAGGCGTCCAGCTTGATGGTTAGATTCACGTAGGCTGTCAAAGAATTACCAAAATAGGTTCAGCTGACACCCATCTTCTCACATAAAATAATGAAGAGAAAGAATAGGAAAAAACTTCTTGTGATGAGAGCTTTCAGGCTTTACTTTCTTGGCCATTTCTCTAGGACTTGCCTGGCGGCCCAATGGTTAGGAATCCACCTGCCAGTGGAGGAGATGTAGACGGTCGATCCCTGGTCCAGGAAGATCCCGTATGTCCCAGAGCAACTAAGCCCATGAAAGTGAAGTCGCTCAGTCGTGTCTGACTCTTTGTGACCCCACGGACTGTAGCCCACCAGGTTCCTCCGTCTAGGGAATTTTCCAGGCAAGAGTACTGGAGTGGGTTGCCATTTCCTTCTCCAGAGGATCTTCCCGACCCAGGGATCGAACCTGGGTCTCCCGAATTGCAGGCAGACGCTTTCCTAAGTTTACTAGTTTACTAAGTCAACTAAGCCCGTGTGCCACAAGTACTGAGTCTGTGCTCTAGAGCTTGGGAGCCGCAAATACCGAAGCCCCCTCGCCCTAGAGCCGTGCTCCACAAGAGAAGCCACGGCAGTGAGAAGCCTGAACACCGCAACCGGAGAGCAGCCTTCGCTCGCTGCAACTAGGGAAAAGCCCTTGCCGCAACAGAGACCCAGCAAAGCCAAAACCAAGATAGTTAAGATGGCACATACTGTTCTGGGTGTTTTACCATCTCAAAACAACCATTCGGAACTGGAGTGCCTAAGCATTGCCAGGAGCCAGCAGAAGACCCTCTAGACTTTAGCAACTGGAGGGCTTTCCTGGGATCCACTCTGTGCTGCCTGCTGCTAAGGCTTGACATGCATTAGCCCACGCGGCACGGTGTAGGGGTTACATGGACTTCCGGCCTCGTGGCTTCAGTGTGAATCCTGGCTCTGTCCCTCCACACCTGTGTGACCTTAGGCAAGCAGCTGAACATCTCTGTGCTTTTCCATACAGAAAGAATCACAGCCTTCTTCACATGGCTTGTGTGACAATTACATGAGTTAATTCATTTTTTTTAAGGTACTGAAGAGTGCACCCACTTTCTTTCCTTTTTTTTTTTTTTTTTTTACTATTTATTTATGTATTTGGCTGCCCCGAGTCTTAGTTGCAACATGTGGGATCTAGTTCCCTGACTAGGGATTGAACCCAGGCACCCTGCGCTGGAAGCACAGAGTCTTAGCCACCGGACCACCAGGGAAGTCCTGAGTTAATTCACATTAGGGACCTGGAATATGGCCAGGCACATGGCAAGGACTCCATATGTGTCAGCTCTTCCGATAAGTATTATGAGAACTCATGGTATTAGCATCGGGATTTCCCAATGAAACAAGTTCAGTGCATACAAGTAACCTGCCCAGGGTCACAGCAACCATGCCTGGATGGAGACTGTTCCACACGGGAGCAGTAACCCACACCCCTAGCAGGGGGACCCCGGGACTCGGATGAGCCCAGCCCAGCACGCAGGGGCCTCCAGGCTGCTGCCAAAGCTCCAAACCCTTTCAGAACTTTTGTGACAGAGCAGGCAGGAGGATGACCGTCAGAATGCCATATGTGGGACTTCCCCGGTGGCCCAGGGGCTAAAGACTCCATATTTCCAACGCAGGGGGCCCAAGTTCGGTCCCTGGTCTGGGAATTAGATCCCACAGGCTGCGCTAAGACCCAGCACAGCCAAAGAAAGGAAGTTTTTTAAAAAAGAATGATACACGCGAGTTCAGAGTCAAGGGTTTAAGAAATTTCCTCTTTCTGAGCAGAAGGCAGAAAGGAAGCTTCAGTGGTCACGGATGTGTCTGAGCAAATGCTGGGCAGATAAAGAAAACGTGTTCTCGATAATGTGAAGAGGCTGGGGCTGGGACACAGACCAAGACCACGGGTGCGGGCTCAGCAAAGGGGGCCTCTAGGGCGCTGGGCTTCAGCAGTCGGGGCAGGTGGGCTCCTGGCATTGTGGACCCGGGCTCTGGAACACAGGCTCAGTAGAGTGGCGCATGGGCTTGCTTGCTCCCGGGTATGTGGGATCTGCCCGGGTCGGGGACTGAACCCATGTCTCCTGCACTGGCAGGCGGATTCTTTACCTCTAAGTCAACAAGGAAGCCTTTTTGTGTTTGACGCTCTTTGTCTGCGGACGCTTCCATAATGGGCTCAGTAGTTACTGCTTGAAGAAGGGGTCTCCCACCAAGTCCAAAAGCCTTTTAGCCTCCTCATCCGTCGGCTAGGACCTCAGAAGCAATCAGTGTAGAGAGACACCCGCCCTCTGCCAATGATCACCTCCAGTGGAAAAAAAGAATCCCATGACTTCCCTGATGGGTCAGTAGCTAGGGCTCCGCCTGCCAATGCAGGGGACGCGGGTTCGATGGCCGGTCCGGGAAGATCCCATATGCTGAGGGGCAGCTAAGGCGGTGTGCCGGTTATTGAGCCCGCGCTCCGAACGAGAGGAGCCGCTCCAATGAGGAGCCTGGGCACCCCAGCTAGAGGGAGCCCCCGATCGCCGCAACTAGAGAGAGCCCGCGTGCAGCCAAAAATAAAAATAATAATTTGAAGGCTTCTCCGGCAGGGCAAGTCCTCGCCCGGTCTAGCCCTCCCCGCCGGGCCCCTGCCCTGAGCGGTGCGGCCCAGCAGCGCCCCCGCGCGGACACTCACCGGCAGCAGGAGCGCGTGCCACACCAGCACGTCGTCGTCCTCGCTGCGCAGGTTCCGCAGGTACCGGGGCAGCTGCTTCTGGAGTTCCTCCAGCTCCTGCAGGGGGCACAGAGCGGGCAGTCGGCCGAGTCTCCCCGCCTCGGCGCCCTCCCGCTCCCACAGCAAACCGTCCCGAGTGCCAAGCAGGACAGAGGCCGGCAGAGCGGGAGCCGGCATCCACTGCGCGCTCAGAACGTGTCCGGCCCGGTGCTCGGGGCCTTAAGTGAATCACCGGATTCTTAGCTGCACCCCAGCTCCGCAGGCACCAGGCGGAGGGTGATGCAAATCAGCGGGTCTAAACACTGTACCGTGGGGGCAAACCTCTTAGCGCTTCCCAGGAGGCTCAGCGGTGAAGAATCCGCCTTGTAATGCAGGGGACACCAGTTTGATCCCTGGGTCGGGAAGACCCCACGGGGAAGGAAATGGCAACCCATTCCAGTATTTTTGCCTGGAGAATCCCATGGAGCGAGGAGCCTGGTGGGTCACAGTCCACGGGGTTGCTCTCTGAGGAGCCTCTTCTCCAGAAACCAAGGTGCTTCCCGTCTGGTTCTTTGCTAGGGAGCCACGACGCCCGGCCTCCCTTCTCCCCGCCGGCGAGCAGCATGGCGATGCGCCCTCATGGAGCTCGGGGCAGGGCGGGCGGCAGAGCCATCAGCCTGTCCCTGTCAGACTGTCCCAGAGCAGGCCTGGGGAGGGGGCGCCGCTCAGGCAGACGCGGCAGAGGACAGCGCCCCACGCCAAGCAGAGAAACCAGAGGACAAGCGACGGCTCGCCTTCCCAGGAAGGCGGCCCATCATCTGAGCATCCCCGAGTTCTCCCAACAGCGTCTTCCATCGCCACGACACTAAGACACGGGCCGCCCTCGAGAACTTCACTGGAGCGGTGGAAGAGACACGGTGTGATTATGTGAATAAAGTGTGGACACACAGTAGGAGGGGAAAGTGAAAGGTGGTCGCTGAGTCATGAAAGATGCTGGGATTCTTGGCCTCCGGAGGAGACAAATTCAATCCCGGGCCTGTGACGAGGCTTGATTGCTCAGAGCTCTTGTGTCATAGTTTTATTAAAGCATAAAGAGATAAACGAAGCTTCTGAGAGAGACATCAGAAGGGGGCAGAAAGAGTGCCACCCTGTTAGTCTTTAGCAGCATGTTATACTCCCATCAGCAGGCTGTTAACTAGAGAAAGGAGATGTCTCAAAACTCAGAGTGGCACCAGGCCCCTCACCCACAGCGTGCATTTTGAGATGACCTTGGCACCAGGGGAGTCATCCCTGGCCATAAAGCGACTGGCCTGAGTCTTGAAGAAAGACAGGTTTCCAAGTAAATACATAGTTTCATTAACATCGATGAGGAGAACAGTGTATGAGTAAAACATACAGGTTTGTTGAGGTTCTGAGTCTTAAGCGGAACTGATTTGAAGAAAGAAAGAAAGAGTCCAGGGTAAATACATAGCTCATTAACATAGGTTAAGAAAAACACTTCCATAAGAAAATGCATTGGTTAGCTCAAGGTTTGAGAAAAGTTAACTTCAGGTGGAGCCAGGGGTTGTCATAGCAACACAGAATTTTAAGAAAAACCTCCTTTTAAATTTGTATAAAGAAGGGGGAAAAAAATCTCACACTTGTTTGCTTCCTCCTGCTGCTTAAGAGAGACATAAAAAAATGCCTGACGCTTGCAGCCTGCTTCCTCCATTTGGAGACCCCTGGCCTTCCTGCCTGTTACCCTCTCAAAAGGAGAAGGAGGAGAGGGGAGGGGAGCAGGAAAGCTTCACACGGGCGACACCACACTGGGCCCTGCAGTATGAATAGGAGTCCGCCGTGCAGAGAGCTGGCGAAGCACCAGGGCGGAGGGCCCAGTTAGAGCAGGTGTGTACAGCGTGTCCCGTGCAAAGTTCACAGTTGTTACGGGAAAAGGATCCCATGGTCAACCACACTGGGAAACACTAGGCTACACTGAGTTCTTTCCTGCAGGACTTTCCAAAGCCTTTAATGCTCTGTTGCACGTTGCCATTCTCCGAGATGTGTGCCCAAGTATGCAGCACATCTCAAATTTAGTATTAGACCAAGGAATCCCGCTCTCCATTTTGGAGTCCTTTTTGTGGGACAACAGACCTTTTTAAAAATGTATTTTCTTATCTTTAAAAATTTTGTTTTAATTGAAGTATAGTTGCTGGGCAATATTATATGTTATGATACAATGATTCACAATTTCTAAAGGTTATACTCTGTCTATAGCTATTATAAAATATTGGCTATATTCCCCATGTTGTACAGTATATATATCCTGTGGTTTATTGTATACCTAATAGTTTGTACCTCTTACCCCCTACTCAATGCTGCCCCTCCCTTTTCTCTCTCCCCTGGGCAATAGACCTTAAAAAAAAAAAAGACAGGGAATCCTCTGGTTGTCCAGTGGTTAGGACTCCACGCTTTCATGGAGTTTGATCCCTGGACGGGGAACTAAGATCCTGCAAGCCACATGACACAGCCAAAAAATAAATAAACGTATTTAAAAAGAGACCTTGAAGGGCAGGTCCTGTTTTCCTGGAACACTGAGTGGGAGTAAGCCAGAGGCTCTCAGCCGGGGGCTCCTTTATCTACCGGCGCCCAGCACTTCTCGCAATGTCTAGACCCATTTCTGGCTGCCACACGTGGAGGAGTGCTGCTCCGTCTAGTGGGTCTACCAGGGTGTGGTCTCTACCAGGGGTGTGATAAACATCCTTCAGAAAATGATCCAGCCTCAAATATCAGTGGCGACAAAGTTGCGAAACTCTGATATAAACAAAGGCTAAGAGAAAGGTCCCCACAGCTGGGGGAACCCTTCACACTGTGCCCCGCCTAAACTTTCTCTGAGCCCCAAAGTACAAGCACACCATTATCCCCTGTTTCTTATCTTTCTACACCCCACCTCTGTTCATGCCCACAGAGGGCCCAGGGCCTATGACCCCTCACTGATCTGTTACCCCAAACTAGAAGCATCTCCTGCTACCAGTTCCAGGATTGTCTGTGACCCCTGAGCAAGAAGGAAGCCCCACGCTGCACAGAAAAGCCCTGGAAGAGACATTTTCCCAACTTTACCAAAACTGGAGGGAGGAACTTGGACTTGACCTGTCATGCATGAGTTCTGTCAAGACTTTCGCAAAGCCTGGAGATGTTGAAATCCACACTAGAACACAGCTGTTCCCCAAGGCCTGCTCAGAAATCATCTGACTCAGAGGAACAGAAAATGAAAGTAGAGAAGCCACTGAAAGAACCTCTGGGTTGGAGCCTCACCAACGCGGCTCGAATCCCAGCCCCACCACTCCCTACCGGGTGACCCAGGACAATCAAGTCAGTCTTTCTGAGCCTCAACTTCCCCATCTGTAAAATGGGGGCAGAGGACTCATCTCTCAGGGGTACTGAATGACTGATGTAAACTCCCCGACAGTTAATGGTGCCGGGGAGACAAATACTGGCTCCCGGCTTTCCTGCTTAGTTGGAAAAACCCTCTGCCTCATTTTGCTGCCAACCTCCAGAGTTCAATCCTTCTGGGCTGAGCCTTCTCTGGATGCCCCAGCCTGCAATCATTTTCTTCCCAGAGGCTGAGGGTAGCACCCCCTGTTCACCCTCCTCATGCCTGCACACAGGAGGGGCGATTCTGAGAGACTCAAAGCCTCAGGGGTATCAGCCCCACCTCCCCAGAACTGCTCCACCGTCAGGGAGATTCTTTACCATTTGACCACCAGGGAATCCTCCCCCACCTTCCGCATCTATGTCCAATCCCAGCCACACCCCAGTCCCCCAGATGCCTTGGGTTTTCCCTCCTGGGGAAAATCCCTCCCTCCCCATCCTTCCCTACCTCACTTCACATTGTGTCCCTGATCAGAATGAAGATAAGACTTTTTTGGTTTTCTCTGCCTCCCCACTTCCTAGAGCAGGAACCAGCATATGGGAGGCATCCAACAACATCTGTAGACCAGATGACTGCACACCATTTACTCCAGGTGACCTTCTGGGTTCACCCTGGCAGCTTTTCTTCAGGAGAAAACCCTGAGAACTTTGCTCTCAACTTAGCGTCCCATACTTCTTGGGCTTTTTTTTTTTTTTTTTTTTGCGGGGGGCGGCGTCACTGCAAGACTTGGGGATCTTAGTTCCCCGACTGGGGATCCAACTGTGCCCCCTCCAGTGGAAGTCCTAACCACTGGACCACCAGGGAAGTCCCCGTTCTCGGGGCTCTAATGTGGGCACCAAAGCACGAGGGTCCTGGTTACCTCTGCTTAAAAGGCACCTGCCACCACTGCCAACGAAGCGCCTGGCTCCAGAAAGACTCCGAAGAACCAACCCTTCCTGCACCTGAAAGTGAAGGCCGCTCAGTCGTGTCCGACTCTATGCGACCCCATGGACTATACAGTCCATGGAATTTTCCAGGCCAGAAGACTGGAGTGGGTAGCCTTTCCCTCCTCCAGGGGATCTTCCCAAACCAGGAGTCGAACCCAGGTCTCCCGCATTGCTTGCGGATTCTTGCCCAGCTGGGCCACCAGGGAAGCCCCGCCCCCGGGACGCACGTAACTGTCCCAAGTTTCCGGCAGGAAAAATGAAACTGAAACCAACGCGGGGGGAGGCGGCTCATCCCCCAGCACAGCTCAGGGAGCCGGCGACACCCCATTCATGTCCTCCCACCCCCCAAAACTGCAGACCCTCTCGCAGCCCCACTGATCCTTGGGGAGGGGGCAGGGACGCAGGGACTCAGCAGGCCCGGGTCCCCCAAACGCGCTCGGGGAGCAGAGGGCAGGATGGGGGGAACGGAGCCCGGGAAGGCGCGGGGAGCCGGGCGGGAGGGGTTACCTTCGCCACCCGCTTGCTCGCCGTCATCTTGGCACCGAGAGCTGGACTCCGGGGGACGAGCCAGACTGGGGAGCGGCCCGCGGTCTCGGCGCGCCCCGCTCCGGGGCCGCGCCCCCAGGGGCCCCGCCCGCGCTCCGCTCTGCTCCGCCCACCGGGGCCGGGCCACCGAGGAGTGGGGCGCGCCCGGGCCCCAGTGGGCTCCGGAGCCTGGGAGCACGAGCGTTTTCTTGTCCGGAGCCCGGCGGGCCTGGGAGCGCGCGGCATCGCGGGGCCCCGCGGTCGCGCTGTGGGGCGCGGGGCCCGGNTTAAAAAAAAAATCATCAGAGTGTAGCTGATTTACAGAGTTGCATGAGTTTCTGCTGCCAGCAAAGTGTATCAATTATCCATTTACATATATCCGCTCTTCTTTAGATTCTTTTCCAATATAGGTCCTTACAGAATATTGAGAAGAGATCCCCGTGCTATACAGTAGGCCCTTATTAGTCATGTTTTATGTACAGTAGTGTGTGTAGGTCGATCCCGACCTCCCAGTTTATCCACCCCCCAACCCAGCTTTCCCCCTGGGAGCCATAGGTTTGTTTCCTACATCTGTGACTCTATTTCTGTTTCTTCCTTCCGATTTTAAGAGAAATTAAAATGAAAGCCTTTTCATAGGCCCCTGAAAGCATTCTGGGCTCAAGGCCCTATGTCTGCTGGGCCCCAGTTCATTCTGTCTTTGGTGAGGGCTACTGAGCTTCCATGTACAGAGGCAAGGTCAAGTTTCATTTTTACATACATGTATTCAAGTCTAAGGGGTCGCACAGAGTCGGACACGACTGAGCGACTAAGGATGCTCACAAGCACCTATTAGGGGCAGATCTGGGAGACAGTTGGGTGGTGGCACCCGGCATAGACTTCAGGGACCTCCCTTGTCTTACCCTCGGTCCAGTACACACTGCAGACCTGCTGTGTGCCCCAGAACGCGGGCAGGGCTCTCCGCCCCTGCGCAAGGGCGGGGGCTGTTTCCCCCAGCATGAAGGTGACCCCGAGGGCTTGAAGCCCCAGAGCCCGGAGCAGCGTCTGGGGAATAATCGCATAGTAACGATGAGCCTGGGCAGACCTGTCTCCCTTACCCTCGTCTCTTTTAGCTCAGATGAGGAAGAAAACCAGACAATATTTTGGGCACATATTTTGAGTTCTGAATTCACTTCCTCACTTACTGTTTATCTAGGTGTCTTGGTGCCAAACAACTTCTCTGCTGGTGTGTAGGATGTGTTTGCAGAATGATTTATTCTCTGTTTCATTGAATTCAGTAAGTTTTAACTGGGGATCTTCTTGTTTTCTTTCTTTCTCTCTCTTTTTTAAATGTAGTTCCCTGAGCAGGGATCAAACTTGAGCCCACAACACTGAAAGCACAGAGTCTTACCCACTGGACTGCCAGGGAATGCCCAAACAGGGCATCTTCTCTCTGGCAGAAATGAATGGGACGCCGTCCACAAGCTCTTAGCACAGGTAGAGATGAAGGAGCTGAGGCCTTTGAGCCCGTCTCTGGTCGCTCATCTCAGTTAATAAGCATTTACTAGGGAGTGCCAGGCAGTGACCGCAGTGGGTCCTTGTACTGGCTCTCCTACTACTGAGACGGAGAAAGAATACAGTCCCTGCATTTTTAATGTGAAGTGGTACATGTTAGGCTGCAGGCAATCATCTGATGCTGTGGGAGCCTGCAGGAGGGTCGCTGGACCCAGCCTCAGAGAGGGGCAGTGGTTTCCTGGAAGAGACAAAGATCCAAGTGAACTTCAGACATTAGCCTATGAAATTACTCAGCCCATAAAAACTAACCACACCAGGTTTCAAGGCCACTCTCTCCCGAGACAGCTCACACTCTGTCTGTGGAGTGTGTTGTTCTCAAAATAAATCCACTTTCTACCTATCACTTTGTCTCTCATGGAATTCTTTCTGCGATGAGACATCAAGAGCTTCATTAAGTCTTGAAATCAAGCTGTGCGATCTCAGCTAAAAGACCATGGGTTCAAGTCCAAGTCTGAGTCACAAGGTTTTGGAAGAACTGTTTTTACTTTTCTCTAATGTAGTTGGCTTGTATTCATTTCTTCCACAAAATTTATCCAGCGCCTGCTTCTGTGAGGCCCGTGCTGAGCTCCCTGCAGACATGGAGAGGAGACTGAGGCCAACCTTTGTCTTTACCATTGGGTCAGAGATGTGTGTCTGTACAGAGAGCAAAAGGCTGCGGGAGAAAGGCCTCTAAGTCACTTCTCTGTGGGATCTAGACAGGCAAACCAAACACCAAACTCATATATACGGAGAACAGATAGGTTGGTAGAGGTGAGGGCTGGAAGGTGGGGGAAATAGGTACCAACTTCCAGTTATAACTAAGTCTTGGAGAAGTAATGTACAGCCTAGTGACTAATAGTTAATGATACTGTATTTTATATTTGAAAGTTGCTTAGACAGTAGATGCTGTTGTTCAGTCGCTCAGATGTGTCCGACTCCTTGTGACCCCATGGACTGCTGCAGGCCAGGCCTCCCTGTCCATCACCAACTCCCAGAGCTTACTCAAACTCGTGTCCATTGAGTCAGTGACACCATCCAGCCAACTCATCCTCTGTCGTCCCCTTCTCCTCCTGCCCCCAATCCCTCCCAGCATCAGGGTCTTTTCCAATGAGTCAACTCTTCGCATCAGGTGGCCAAAGTATTGGAGCTTCACCTTCAGCATCAGTCCTTCCTACGAATATTCAAGGCTAATTTCCTTCAGGATGGATCGGTTGCATCTCCTTGCAGTCCAAGGGACTCTCAAGTGTCTTCTCCAACACTACAGTTCATTTCTTTGGTGCTCAGCCTTCTTTGTGGTCCAGCTTTCACATCCATACATGACTACTGGAAAAAACACAGCTTTGACTAGACAGACCTTTGTCAGCAAAGTAATGTCTCTGCTTTTTAATATGCTGTCTAGGTTTGTCATAGCTTTTCTTCCAAGGAGCAAGCATCTTTTAGTTTCATGGATACAGTCACCGTCCTCAGTGATTGGGAAGCCCAAGAAAGTAAAATCAGTCACAGTTTCCACTTTTCCGCTATTTATTTGCCATGAAGAGATGGGACCAGATGCCATGAATGTTGAGTTTTAAGCCAGCTTTTTCACTCTCCTCTTTCACCTTCATCAACTGGCTCTTTAGTTCCTCTTTGCTTTCTGCCATTAGGGTGTTATCATCTACCTATCTGAGGTTACTGATACTTCTCCTGGCAATCTTAATTCTAGCTTGTGATTCATGCAGCCTGGCTTTTCACATGATGTACTTTGCATGTAAGTTAAATAAGCAGGGTGACAATATACAGCCTTGACCTACTCCTTTTACAATTTTGAACCAGTAAGTTCTTCCATGTATGGTTCTAACTGCTGCTTCTTGACCTACAGAGGTTTCTCAGGAGATAGGTAAGGTGGTATCCCCATCTATTTAAGAATTTCCCACGGTTTATTGTGATCCACTCAGTCAAAGGCTTTAGTGTAGTCAATGAAGCAGAAATAGATGTTTTTCTGAAATTCCCTTGCTTTATCTATGATCCAACAGATATTGGCATTTTGATCTCTGGTTCTTCTGCCTTTTCCAAATCCAGGTTGTACATCTGGGATTCCTCAGTTCATGTACTGTTGAGGCTTAATTTGGAGGATTTTGATCATTACTTTGCTAGCATGTGAATTGAGCACAATTGTACAGTAGTCTGAACATTCTTTGGCATTGCTCTTCTTTGGGATTAGAATGAAAACTGACCTTTTCCAGTTCTGTGGCCACTGCTGAGTTTTCCAAATTCGCTGGCATATTGAGTGCAGCCCTTTGACAGCATCATCCTTTAGGATTTTAAATAGCTCAGCTGGAACTCCATCACCTCCACTAGCTTTGTTCACAGTAATGCTTTCTAAGGCCCACTTGACTTCAGATGTCAGGATGTCTGACTCTTGGTGAGTGACCACACCCTCATGGTTATCTGGGTCTTTAAGACCTTTTTTGTACAGTTCTGTGTATTCTTGCCACCTCTTCTTAATCTCTTCTGCTTCTGTTAGGTCCTTACTGTTTCTGTCGTTTATTGTGCATGAAATGTTCCCTTGGTATCTCTAATTTTCTTGAAGAGAGGCCTTTCCCATTGCATTGTTTCCCTCTATTTCTTTGGTCTTCTTTGCTATAAATAAGAATATACTCAAGGGACTTCCGTGGTGGTCCAGTGGTTAAGAATGCCGCTTGCAATGTTGGGGTCTTGGGTTTGATCTCTGATCAGGGAACGAAGATCCTGACAAGCTGCCCCAACTCAGAGCACGCAGCACAGCTGCTGAGCTGGAGCCCGTTTGTCACAACTAGAGAGTCCGTGTTGGGCAACGAGGCATCCCACGTGATGCACTGCAGATCCTGCAAGCTAAAAAAAAAAAGAATATAATCAAGACTGGATTTGTTCTTGTATTTATTTTTTGTCCTGATTTAAAAAAAAAATCATCAGAGTGTAGCTGATTTACAGAGTTGCGTGAGTTTCTGCTGCCCAGCAAAGTGTATCAATTATCCATTTACATATATCCGCTCTTCTTTAGATTCTTTTCCAATATAGGTCCTTACAGAATATTGAGAAGAGATCCCCGTGCTATACAGTAGGCCCTTATTAGTCATGTTTTATGTACAGTAGTGTGTGTAGGTCGATCCCGACCTCCCAGTTTATCCACCCCCCAACCCAGCTTTCCCCCTGGGAGCCATAGGTTTGTTTCCTACATCTGTGACTCTATTTCTGTTTCTTCCTTCCGATTTTAAGAGAAATTAAAATGAAAGCCTTTTCATAGGCCCCTGAAAGCATTCTGGGCTCAAGGCCCTATGTCTGCTGGGCCCCAGTTCATTCTGTCTTTGGTGAGGGCTACTGAGCTTCCATGTACAGAGGCAAGGTCAAGTTTCATTTTTACATACATGTATTCAAGTCTAAGGGGTCGCACAGAGTCGGACACGACTGAGCGACTAAGGATGCTCACAAGCACCTATTAGGGGCAGATCTGGGAGACAGTTGGGTGGTGGCACCCGGCATAGAAAAAGAATATAATCAAGACTGGATTTGTTCTTGTATTTATTTTTTGTCCTGATTTAAAAA